TCGTCCTAGACTATAACAGCTTACCAGTTCTGCTTCCATTCTTGTGATTTTACCACCTATTTTCAGTACAGCATATTTTATCACTCTGATGCTTTCTTCTTTAATGGCTTCCTAAGGCAATTAGAAAAAAAATCCAAATAAACTCCTTACCCTGGCTTACGAGCTTGAGAGAATTCTGTCTTCTACCTCACCTCTTACCACTTTGCCACTCCTTGACTCACTCCATCCAACCTCTTCCAGTTACCCTCCAAGCTATTCCAGTTTTACAGACTGCATTAGCTAGTCCTTTTGGTGGTGTGTCCCTGCATTAAATGTCAACTCTAGAATGGGTGACTGGGGAACACCTGCCTCAAGTTGCCACTGAGAGGCTTTGTATTATCTTAATGTTCTACATCACATTTACAACTACTTCTCCATTATCAAGTAACTACTCTCTGGGAGACCAATGGCCTATTCATTCATGTATCCTTAACATCAATAATAGGTCCTAGTGCACTGAAGTGCTTAATAAACATTGTTCAGGCTGGGCACGGTGGCTCACGCCTGTAATCCCAACACTTTGAGAGGCCGAGGTGGGCGGATCACCCGAGGTCGGGAGTTTGAGACCAGGCTGACCAACATGGAGAAACCCCATCTCCACTAAAAATACAAAATTAGCCGGGCATGGTGGTGCATGCCTGTAATCCCAGCTACTCAGGAGGCTGAGGCAGGAGAATCACTTGAATCCAGGAGGTGGAGGGTGCAGTGAGCCGAGACCGCGCCATTGCACTCCAGCCTGGGCAACAAAGAGCGAAACTCCGTCTCAAAAAAATAAATAAAAAATAAAAAATAAAGAGTAAACACTGTTCAATGGTTGGTCTTCACTAAAACAATGAACTATATAAAACAGAAATATCTGAAGAAAAAAATACATACGCCAAGTCATTCATAGGAACCATGTATGGGCTGCATTATGAGAGCTCATTATTTTGGATCATCTGTATTTTCCATACTGTGCACAGCATGTATTTGTTTTTAATTGTGGTAAAATACACATATTTCATGTATTATTTTCAAAATAAAAAGGGCATAAGTCAAGGGAGCCAAACACAATGTACGAAGTAAGAAACACTCCTAGCTAGACTGATCTTTTCAAGTCTTACATCAAAATCCCATAAAGCATTTCTCTAGCACTCCTGTCCCTCCTTTAAAGATTTTTTTCCCCCTCTTGTGTTCCTATCCTTCACATTTTATTTCTCCAATTATTCAAGTGAGGAACTTGAGATTCTTTGATACTACCCTTTTTCTCACCAAGACCTGGGCATATTACCTTCAAATATTCCAAATGCATCAACTTTAGATTTCTAGCACTGCCACTCTAGTCTAAGCTATAATAGCTCTTGACTGAAATATTGCAAAATCCCTTTACCTGGTTTACTCCAATACATCATTATCGAACTCCTTCAATTTGTTTACTCTGTAGCAAGAGACATTTCAAAATAGAAATCCTGTCACTAATTACCTTCCCCCTGCACCTACCTACCTGCCAAAAATCACCAACTTCCCCATTGCAGTTGGTAGGGATAAAGACCAACCTCTGTTAGGCCAACTAGACTCTTTACTGTCTGACTCCTAGCTATTCTTCTAAATAGGCACCTACTCAATTTCCCCATAGGGCTTTTCAGGGGCCTTTTTAACTTAAGAGTGGGAATCTTATTTAATCATTTCTTTTTTCTTTTTTTTCCTTTTTTGAGATGGAGTGTCACTCTTGTTGCCCAGGCTGGAGTGCAACGGCGCAATCTCGGCTCACTGCAACCTCCGCCTCCCAGGTTCAAGCAATTCTTCTGCCTCAGCCTCCCAAGTACCTGGGATTACAGGCATGCGCCACCATGCCTGGTTAATTTTTTGTATTCTTAGTAGAGACAGAGTTTCACGATGTTGGTCAGGATGGTCTCAAACTCCTGACCTCAGGTGATCTGCCCACCTCGGCCTCCCGGAGTGCTGGGATTACAGGAGTGAGCCACCGCACCTGGCCTAATCATTTCTTAGTAGTACCTAGAACAGTGCTTAGTATTTTGAAGTTCAATGGCTAATGAATGAACTGAGCCAGTGGAAGTTAGAATAACATGAACAAGTCTTGTGGCAGGGAAAATGGACAATAAAGGAGGAGAGAGACAAAGTATTGAATGGAAAAGATGAGACTTCAAACATTTCTAGGCTGATTAAATCAGAAAAAGAGATGTTCATCATCACAGAGCCAGGTATTCACAGGTTAAGTTGCATAGGGAAAAAAAAATACATTGTTTTGGACTTATCAATTTTGAATTATCAAAAGGGAACTAGCCAAAAGGATATTTAAAAAGACATGTTTAGAATGCAGGGTAGGTAGACAGCAGAAATGCAATTGAGTCAATAACAGCTAACGCTGGCCAGGGGCGGTGGCTCACGCCTATAATCCCAGCACTTTGGGAGGCCGAGGTGGGTGGATCACCTGAGGTCAGGAGTTCAAGACCAGCCTGGCGAACATGGTGAAACCCTGTCTCTACTAAAAATACAAAAATTAGCAGGGCGTGGTGGCAGGCACCTGTAATCTCAGCCACTTGGGAGGCTGTGGCAGGAGAATTGCTGGAATCTGGGAGGCAGAGGTTGCAGTGAGCCGAGATTGCGCTATTGCACTCCAGCCTAGGGCAACAACAGCAAGACTCCATCTCAAAAAAACAAAACACAAAAAAACAGCTAACACCAGTGACATTTTAAGTGCTTTACATGTTAACTCCGTGAGTTCTCACAATCACCCATCCCATTTCACAAATGAGGAGACAGGCACAGAAAAACGCTTACCATTGAATGGTGGAGCTGCCATCCAAGCCCAGGCTGTTTCCAAAGTTCTGCTCTTGATCATCATATAGTATATGGAATTTACTGAGTAGATAATATATGGAAGCCAATGTAGTGCCTGGCCTAAATAAAACAACTCAGAGAAATTTTGTGGGGAAAATAGACAAGGGACAGAAGAAACTAGTAGGGTATGGTGACAATAGAAAAACAGGAGCAGTGAGGCCGGGCATGGTGGCTCACGCCTATAATCCCAGCACTTTGGGAGGCCCAGGTGGGTGGATTATGTGAGGTTCGGAGTTCGAGATCAGCCTGGTCAACATGGTGAGACCCCATCTCCACTAAAAATACCAAATTAGCTGGGTGTAGTAGCAGGCGCCTGTAATCACAGCCACTCGGGAGGTTGGGGCAGGAGAATCACTTGAACCCGGGAGGCGGAGGTTGTGCTGAGCCGAAAGCAAGTCACTGCACTCCAGCCTGGGCAATAAGAGTGAGACTCTGTCTCAACAACGACAGCAACAAAAAACAGGAGCAGTTACAGGAATATTAGTGTCACAAAAGTGAATGCATTTCAAGGAGGCAACCAGCTTTATCAAACTTTTAGAGGTCAGCTGGGTGCGGTGGCTCATGCCCCATAATCCCAGCACTTTGGGAGGCTGAAGGGCCGGTCCGAGGTCCAGGAGATCGAGGACCACCTGGCCCTAACACAGGGAAACCCTGCTCAACTAAAACACAAAAACTTGGCCTGGGTGGGGTCAGATGCCTGTTCCACAGGCTACCTGGGAGGCTTGGAGCAGGAGAATTGCTTGAAACCTGAGGTGGAGGTTGCAGTGAGTAGAGATCGTGGCCCACTGCACTCCAGCCTGGGTTGACAGGCAACACTGCGCCCCCCCGCCCGTCTCAAACAAAAAAGAAAAAAAAAAAAAACTTTAGAGGTCAAAGATCAGTTAATTTGGTAATTAACAGAAGGCTAGTAATGTTTCTGTTAATGAATGCGTATTTCTGAATCTGCACTTACAGTATTTTGCCCAACATTTGATAATGCTAAAAAGACTTTTGAAAAATTTCATATATTCTAGACTTCTTATATTTCTGAAGCATGTGAAACATGAGTACATGTACTACATAAACAGATTAGACTTCAGTCCTTATCAAAAACTGCCAGAGACTTCTTTAGGAATAATGTGCAAATTATTTTCTATGTGAATGTACTTAAATCACAAATTTCTTTCATGACTTAAATTGTTTATCCAGTAATTTTACATGAGAGCACTGGCATCAAACTGATCAAAAGTCTTCTAACTAGGAAGTCTTATAAACATAAAACTAAAAAAAAAAAAAAAAAAAAATTCAAGGGTCTCTATTGATCTGTAGCTAAAATATAAATTATGGGAGCAACTCAACTTCTTAAGTGGCTGTTTTCAAATATGTTATTCCATAGAAATTCCCAGGACCAAGTACTAATTTGCTCTTTCAAATTTGAACCTATTTTCAGCAGTGTGGGATATACATTTTATCCCCTTTAAAAAATGTTTTTCCATAGCCAGAGTTAGATAAATTATTACATTATAATTAGAAGTCAGTTTACAAAAGGTTTAAGTCTTCCTTCCCCCTAAGATGAAGTAATGGTTATTCTGGTTTCTTCCCAGTACAAGTTTGCAAATACTGATTTAGAAATCTTAAAGTGTTATTAATAGTAGATAAAATTCAACAATATCATCCCCTTTAGGAAGGAAAAGGTTCAAGTTCTGAAATTACACATGCCTTAGGACCTCATTTTTCATTGAAAGCATGACTATATATGGCTAATGATTACATCAATATTTTTGTGGAGCTTGATAAATTCAATCTGCTCATCGCTTCCTTTCTCCTTTCTTGTAAGATGCAAGGCAGAAATACTTGAGAAAATCCAAGGTTGTAATCTGCTTTAGATCATTCTCATCATTCTTACTACTTATTATTCTAACATTCAACATGTATACCAGCTGTCTAACTGGATTGGGATAGATCTCTTAGAATAGTCAAGTGTTACTTAAATGTTTTACCTTTTTTATATATCAAATTTCACATATAAGAAATTGTTCTAAAACTCAACTGCTTATTATTTCCACTTAGTTTGTATGAAATGCAACTGGGAGAAAACATTTGGGAACAATAAAAACTATAGATTAAATCAGGGACATAGATAAATGCTGCAGACATCAGTAGTTTATTGTTTGTTTAGTCCAAACACATTCAATATGGAAACTCAAAGAATACTTTCCACCTGAAACAATTAAACTAGATTCTACTAGCATATAATGCTTAACACATTACAGCAATAAAGATGGTAATCCATTGTTTTCTATACCTACTAAAGCCAAGATGGTAAAGCCAATTTGGTTGCAATAGTGTCATAAGGATAGAATATTACCATCAAAAAATAAAACAAAATCAGCAAATAACAGTAATGGTAGATGAATATTTTTACTCTGTTTCACTGAAAAGAGGACAAAATGTTGAAAGTCCACAGTACTGCAGGTGAACAATCACCATGTAAACTTCTCCATATGATGTTTTAATGTTTTATTCATGGTACGTAAAGACTGAAGCTGAATGGCTCTTTGCTCTACTTTTCTATTATTACACTTAACATTTGTCATTACTTTTGGTGCCAGAACAGTTTTCATGGATGGCAGGGCAATATCCTGAATTGGAAATTATATATATGTACATATATATACATGTATATATATGTGTGTGTGTGTATATATATATATAAACAGAAATAGAAGAAAATATGCTTGGGGAAAAAAAAAATAATGACAATAAAACAACTGCTTCTTTAAAAGTAGTATTAATAAAGGCTTCAAAACTCCAAAGTAATTTTCTGGTAAGAACTTCAAGTACTATACATCAGAAAGTATAAAACTGTTTCAAACAGAAAAAAAAAAAAAAAAAAAATCCTTAAACCCCCCAAAAATGGAAACTATGAAAATCTGTGTCCCCAAAATATATGCAATAGTGCAAGACTTTCCCTCAAACATGGAAGACCTCTTTCAAAGGGAGAAAAAGGGACAGATTTTACTCATATTGCCCAGTACATGAAAAACAAAATACAGGTATCATTTGCTAGTTTACTAAATAGCAAACAGTTGCCTAATTCAGAACCAATTTGCTACTATGTCAAGTGCATATCCTGTCTGTTTTACAAAGATAGAATGGAGAAGTCTTCCATGCTAACGAGCAGCTTCAAGTGGTCACACTTATTTACCCCACTCCTGCCTGAAACATCAGAAACTGGTATGTACTGATTGCTCCAAGCACAAAATTGGATAAGCTTTGCCATACTTGTGGTTTACTGGAACTTGCTATAAAGACAGACAATAATCCAGCAGCTACAAACTCTGCTCACAGAATTGTTTAAAGATTCATGTAAAAATAAAAGATGTCGTCCCAGACTTAAATTCAGGAGCCACTCGGGTGCTGACATCAGTTCAAGAATTGTGCAAAATGAATGACAGTTCCCTGCCCCCCAAATAGAAAATGCAAACACTTAAAGAGCTGCTGTTCTTTTCTCCGAAAATTGCAGTATCCTCACTTCAGGCTTACTTGCCATTTATGGAATCTGACTGCTTTTAAAATGTCACTAAAAATGTACGTCAAGTTGACTGACTTTTCCAAGCCCTGAAGTGATACGTTTCAAGGTCCACATTCGAGCTAAGAGAAAAGTCAACTAGAGACTTACTCAAATAACTGACTTCCTCCTTCCCTCTCCCCACAAACACACAAGACTCCCTCCCTCCCACAGATAACACAAAGTTGTTAACTGAAGAACAAGATAAATAATATGCTAGTCCATTTTACTGATTTTAAAGATACTGCAATTTTTATACATTTCGATGATTTTCCAACATTTTGCAGCTGTTTGGCTTTGCAGCACAGCAATTCATACACTATACTGTACAAAATTACCAGCAAGACTGGAATGATGTATTAATAGAAGGCACCATCATGCTTATTACATTACCAGAGAACAAAAATACAGTAAAGACAATTTTCACTGTACACAGCTTAAAGAAAGGAAAAAAGGGGAGGAGGAGTGTGTTGAGCAGCCAGCCATCCCTGTACTGAAGAGGGGCAGGTAGAAAAATCTTAGATATGGAGCTACTAAATCTGGTCTAATAGTCAAGACCATCGCATTTGAAGTTCTAATTTTTGTTATTTAGTTCATAACTAAAATGACTTCCTTCTGGAATATACTTGTAGTCTTGTTAAGGTTTATGTGTACACACGCTGGTCACAGCAAGCAGATAAAATGCCCTCATCATTTCACAAACTATTCTCTACTGGAAAAGAAGATGAAAGATTTTTTTCCCTGTTGCCTCCTGTTGCAGATGTCAATGTTAATGAGTTCAGAGTACCCATTAGTACATTTTGATGAGTGCATAACAAGTTTCTGTTGGTTTGTATTTTTGGGGGGAGCCAAGAAAAAAGGCAAGATTCTCCAATTGCACAAATTGCACTATTTGTGTTCCCAACATTAACAGGCAGAAACAGTAACACTTAAACAAAATGTGCAGCAGAAGATTTTTTTTTGACTCAAAGGACCTGAATTCAGTGGGCATGTCCTTTTAAGTTCACTTTGTCGTAGATAGTTTAAGATATGGTCATTTCTCAGTCCTTAATTCTCCAAGTCTAGATTTATAAATTAACAATGTGAATCCTGTTGTGAAATTGGGGAAATAATGTCCACCTCAATTTAACTGATAACCAAAAGATGCTTTTCACATCAAAGAAATGATCAAAAAGGCTGTGTCACATTCCAAAGCCAAAAAAAAATTAACAAGAATGCAAACACGATGAATAATGTACCACTGCCAAGACTTTGCCAACAGTGGAGCTTCAGCGACGCTGTCCTGTGAAGCGGCCTTCCATTTGCCCGGTTCCTCTTCCAGAGCCAAGTTTCTGTGCCATGCCACCCCTTGGAGGAGGTCCTCTTCCATCACGATCACGCATCATTCCACCACCCACAATTCCACGTGGACCACCAGGACCTCGATCATTGCGCCTAATATCCCTGCGATCATCACCACCACCTCTGGTTTCTCGCTCTCTTGCAGCTCTTGTTTTTTTCTCTTCAACATTTAAACGTACTTCCCCTCGAAACATAATTGGCTTTATAAAAGAGGAGAAAAATATTTACATGGGCAGGTTAGACAGCAGTAGAAATGTATTACTCTGAACAGGTAAGTTAGATAAGCATAAGGAACAAAACACTTTTATAAGCCCCGCCGCCCCCAGAGACAGGGTCTCAGCTGTCACCCAGGCTGGTGACAGCCAGTGGCACAAGCATGGCTCACTGCAGCCTTGACATCCCGGGCTCAAGTGATCCTCTCACCTCAGCCTCCTGAGTAGCTGGGATTATAGGTGTCCACCACCATGGCCGACTATTTTTCTTTTTTTGTAAAGACAATGTCTCACTGTTGCCCAGGCTCGTCTTGAACTCTCCTGAGCTCAAGCAATCCTCCTGCCTTAACCTCCCAAAGTGCTGGGATTACAAGTGTGAGTCACTATACCCAGCCAAAATTCTTAACATGCAATCTTTCCCACCTTCTTGAGCAAAGCAAGTAACAAAATTTAAAATGATCCACAAACTGCTAACAAATCTTTATTCTTTGCATAAATACCATTTAATAACTATCTTTAGCTTTATTATTAAAAGATTTTCTATGGTTTTTAAATACCCCAAATTAATATATACAACGAAATAATAAAGTCTTGAATTATGCCCTTTAAATCACTTACTTTTGCAATTAAGATTCTCTGAACTGGTTCAGAGTCATCAAAAACCACAAAACCAAAATTTGGAAGCTTTCCCCCAACACCCTTGGTATTGATGCGAAGTTCCACAACGTTTCCAAAACCTGTGAAAATATACATTACATCAAGGGTTAAATATTTTTAACAGAATACCTTGATGACTCAAACTGTTCAGGATGAATAATCTTAATCTCCCTGATCCATTTTAAAATAAAACTTGCAAGCTTCTACACACAGTGATAGCCAACCTACATTTACTGAAGCAGGCAATCACCTAAGATACCAAGTAGCCTGCCTGCCTGTTGTGTTACCTTTCTGCATCTTTGTTAGTCCTTTCATAAGTAAACTGTATAACTCTGGAAAGACAATGTGTTTTCTCCTAATATATTGACCCGTTTGCCAAATGAATTCTTTATCTCTGAATTTATGACTGATTTATCCAGCTGTTTCTTCTAAACACTGTCGACCCAGGCGAAATCAACACTAAGCAGTCACTGAGAAACATCTGAGATAGTCTACTCCCTTCTGCACAATTAAGGTGAGTCTGGTAGCTGGACACAGTATAAACAGAAACATTTTTTTAAAATAGTCATTTAAAAAGCTCCATATGCCTCTTAATTTAAAATAATTTAAAAACTTCTACAGCAAAATAAATCACTTACTCATGAAGAATTCTTTTAGTTCATTTTCATCAATATCATGTGGCAAGTTACCAACAAAAAGTTGATGACTATCTGGATAGCGAATTATTCTACGGTTGTCAGAGTCATTCTGTTCCATATCTCCTCTGCCTGAGAACAGAAATAGAGCAGATATTAAAGTTTACAATATAATAAAAACTACTCCAACAGAATGAATGTAAAAATCACTTAATATTGATATTCCTGTTTTAGTTTAATAAGAGTTGGTGAGCTTCTTGAAAAAGAGGCAAAACTACTTATTACTAGTAGGTTAGAAAACAGCATGACACTAAAATGTAAAGTGAGGACAATGACTAGGTTGCTAAAATAGCTTCTTCTAGATCTACTGGATTATACAAAAATCAAATACCAGTACAGGTATTCCTCCTTAACCAAACTGTTGCCATCACCCAGGAACCAAGCAGATTTCAGACAGTGAGGTACAGCTCTACTAAATATTTGCTTAGTCTTTTGAAATTCAAAATTCTTTGGCTGTATGACATTACAGCAAATCAGTAAATTTTAACAGCAATTATCACATTTATGTAGTCTATACATATTAGTGTATATGTATATATATACACATAAAATCTTATGATTCTCCCAATAACACGAGGAACACAGTGAGGAAAATAGGCAATACAAGAATAATTTGTGTAATATTTGACATAAAAGCAGCTCAGAATTTAAGGGTCTCACTCCAGATCCTAAGTTTAATCAGTGACAAATTTAGGACTTCTAGTTCAGTAACGTATCACTTTAAAAAAAAATTAACATTGTAAATGTGATATAAACTATCTCCATCTCTCCCATCTCCTCCCCAAAGCAATCTAAACATTCTTACAGAGTTCAAATAAAGGTATTACATGTATAGCTAACAATGTAAACAAGTCAAAAATCATGGCAACTTAATACCTAAGAATCAAAATGTGCTTATTGTTTATCTGTGAAAAGAGTGCTGAGAGAGTAGGTTATTGGCAACTTGGTTTTGAACTCTTAAAACCAGTGACTAGGCCAGGCGCAGTGGCTCACGCCTGTAATCCCAGCACTTTGGGAGGCCGAGGCGGGTGGATAACCTGAGGTCGGGAGTTCGAGACCAGCCTGACCAACAACATGGAGAAACCCCGTCTCTACTAAAAATACAAAATTAGCTGGGCCTGGTGGCACATGCCTATATTCCCAGCTACTAGGGAGGCTGAGAAAGGAGAATCGCTTGAACCTGGGAGGCAGACGTTGCAGTGAGCCGAGATGGTGCCATTGCACTCCAGCCTGGGCAACAAAGAGTGAAACTCCGTCTCAAAAAAAAAAAAAAGACTTGTTAACGTCTTTTACACCTTCAAAATATGTCACCATGGCATGTCAACCAATCCTCCCTAAAAATTGGTTATTCGGCCCCAGACACTATTTTAGTGGATTGCTCACATCACATCTTTAAGCAATTTGAGACTATATGGGTTTGTGTATAGAACACGTCATAGTTTCTTGGTTTTTTTAAATTCAGTGTTTTCCAACCTTACAAATGTTAAATGCTAAAGGCTATAAAAGAGCTGACTCACCTGGTCTTGGTCCTCTAGGAGGAAAACCAGGTCGTTCTCTAGGTCGTTGTTCACGCACACGAGGTGGCTGAGACTGAACTTCTGGTTTAGCTTCAACTCTTGGCTAAAATATAAAGAAAAAAAAATTATAAAAAACACTCCACAGAAGAAAAACCAACCAAAGCAACTAACAACAAGTCACTAGCAGACAAAACAGCAGTTTTAAGTTTAGAATGTTTTTAACATAGTGTCCTATGTATGAGAAAAATAAATTTTTATCAAGATATTCTGTACCAATCTAGGACTGTAGGTAGCTTTTGTTTTCCCACTTAATGCTGTGTAACTCACAATAAGCTGCTTTTTACAGTCACATTTTTTCAAAGTTATATCAACACTGAAATAGCATAAAAGGTACTGCTACCAAAAAAAAAAATCACAAAAATGCAAGATGAACCACTCCATGTAAATACATAAACAAAAATTAAAAGCTATCTTCATCTCAGACAAGAATACATAACACATAATTTCTAAAAATCTAGTTTGCTATCCTTTAAATATAACAGTGCTCAGTAGTACTGCCTAAATCTCTGCCCATAATCTTAAAATCAATATTTTTATAGTTCAAAGTATAAAAATTAGCTTGCTCTAACACCTAAAACTGCTACCTTTAAGTTTAAAATGCATATTAAAAAAATGACAAACTTATAGAAACTTGTATGTAGCATCTCAAATAGTTAAAAGTCCTTTAGCTTCCTACTGTTCTTCCTTATGAGAAAAATATGCATTTGAAGTATTGGCCCCAATGATTTTCCTTAACTAGGGGGGGTTGGGAGTAATAGGACAATTTAAGGTGCCTCCCAAAAGCTTCTGCCAACTGCTAAATTAAACATATAATTATTTTTAAAACAAAATTACATCGGCATCTGCTATTACCTTTTCCTCAAGACAACAGCATTTTCAGTATTCCCAACCTCTTCAGACCTTCTACTACCCAAATATTTATGGTCCAAGGAGAGACAAATATATGAACCTACAAAGGATGCTGAAAACACCCAAGAGAGTATGGAGAACATGTTCTCAACTCAGAAAGCTAGTAATTTCAGTCCCATCTTTAAAGATGGTCATCTTCCTGTAATCCCAGCACAAGGCCAAGTCGAGCGGATCACCTGAGGTCAGGAGTTTGAGACCAGCCTGCCCAATATGGCGAAACCCAGTCTCTACTAAAAATACAAAAAATTAGCTGGGCGTGGTGGCAGGCACCTGTATTCCCAGCTACTTGGGAGGCTGAGGCAGGAGAATCGCTTGAACCCGGGAAGCAGAGGTTGCAGTTAGCCAAGATCACGCCACTGCACTCCAGCCTGGCCAACAAGAATGAAACTCCTTCTCAAAGAAAATAAATAAATAAATAAATAAATAAGTGGTCATCTCTGAGGATCTCAGTCTATGCAGTGACACAAACTCTTTAATCATTTATATAACAGATATTGCAATTTACAAGGACAAATTTTGACACAAAATGCTTCTTTCAAAAATGACAATTTAATGTAAATGATTTCAGCCACTGTAACCAAAAGGAATATTAACTCCTATGCTAACAGTTTAACCAGGTTTGCCTGCCTCTTCCTAAATTGTTTTCCTCTATGTCAATGTCCTATTTCCCTCAAGATGAAGTTGCTTACCATATTCTAGAATTCTACTAGTTACAAAACGAATATTTTTAACTATCTCCAGGTTTTATTGTTGTTATTTATATGTATTTACTCCTATAAGGTCTGTATCTTTTATTTTTTTAGAGAGACACAGTCTTACTCTATTGCCCAGGCTGGAGTGCAGAGGCACAATCATAGCTCACTGTAACCTCAAATTCCTGGGCTCAAGTGATCCTCCTGCCTCAGCCTCCCAAGTAGCTGAGATTACAGGCACACCAGTGCCCAAGGCCCATATCTTAACTTACTTTTACATCACCCAAAGAACCAAGCACAGTGCTATTAGACATAGATGTTCAGTAACTACTGGTTCATTTAAATTAAATTACATTTTTAGTTCTCTGACCCAAAACATGCAAGATAATGTTCTATGTCTGACAAGGATATGTAAGTGACAGCCCTGAGACCACTGCTATCTGTATTTGGGGTTTAATTCTATACAGTAATTTGACGCAAAATGTGATGCTGGAAAAGGCAGTTATTTAGAAACTTCAACTAAGGGGCTCTAAAAGCATACTTCAGTATGAATGTAAACAGAATTAGAAAATAAATGTACTGTGTCAAAGTTTAATAAAAAGAGTGTATTACTGGCAATTAATAAAAATAATAAATGTACCTTTATTACAAAATTTAAGAAAAACCTTAGACTCATCCAATCCAAATGTTATCAAAGAACTTGAGGCCCTGGTCTTGACTGATTTAAATTCTTTTCAGAACGGATTATCAAAACACGAGTAACTACAAGTAGCAAAATAGTTCTTCCTTATTCTTTAAGGACGAAAATTAAAAGCAGATAAAGTTAAATATTGATAATTTCCAACATCTTACAAATAATTCATGCCATTGATTTAGGAATCTGACTGTAATTAGATATTTGATGATGCCAATTTAAGAAAAATACAAGAACAAAAAGCTAACACTGTCTCCTTCAGTAACTGATTGACACATGTTAACTAAGCCAGCTGCATCCTTATAATTCTTCAGGTCTCCAGTTTCATGATTAAAACTAGTTGTTCTGAACAGATAAAATGGCCAATATGCCACACAGTAGAGGGCCTTAAAATTAATTCCATGCAACCAGAAAGTATGATCAAATGACAAACCCACAAATGAAGGTCAAACAGAATATCAAGTAAGTACAGAACCATCAAATCAAGTCAATAAAAGCAGGTATAACCACAAATAATAAGCCCTTCAATTAAACATAAGTTCTTTAGGTGAGCTAGTAAATTTCCAGACAAAATCTTTTATTCAAGAAATTAACTTACCTACTTCTAAGTTAATGCCTACCAATACCCTGGAATTAATTTCCATTTATCAATAATCTATGTTCAAAGTACAAGGAAACGAATACTACACACAAGCAACAAACTAAAATTGAAGGAGTATTAAATCAAGTAGAAATATCATGAATCCATTTCAAATATAGCCTAAAAAGATTAGAAGTTCTTTTAAAGTTTAAATTCTAAACATTTAAAATTTTTGTTTTATTTAAGGGGTGGCATAGGAAATACAACTTCATTTCCTACACCTTGAAGACTAACTTCAAAAATACACACTTAAGGAAAATTACTTAAGATAAATATGAAGGTATTTTTCTGGGCAAGAGGCTAAGATTTAATCAGGCATGTCTTAAGAGTCCTCTTTGATGTAAATACAGATAAGATACAAAACTCTCCACACCAAGGTGCTGGAGAACTGCATAAAGTCTACAGGAGGCTGGGCGCAGTGGCTCACGCCTGTAATCCCCGCCCTTTGGCAGGCCAACGCTGGTGGATCACTTGACGTCAGGAGTTTGAGACCAGCCTGGCCTACACAGCGAAACCCCGTCTCTACTAAAAATACAAAAATTAGCCAGGCGTGGTGGCGGGCACCTATAATCCCAGCTATTCAGGAGGCTGAAGCAGGAGAATCACTTGAGCTGGGCAGGTGGAGGTTGCAGTGAGCCGAGAGAGCGCCACTGCCACTGCCAGTGCACTCCAGCCTAGACGACAGAGCGAGACCCTGTCTCAAAAAAATAAACATTTACATGAGCCACATATGGACTCGTGTCCAACTGCATGACTTCAAAGCCCACCCATACTATGTACATAAATGTCTGTGAGTTACTCTAGACCTCAATTTTTCTGTCTCTAAAATAGAAATAATAGTACCCACAGGTGGTTGTGAGAATTCACTGAGAATGAATAAAAAGTGCTTCACACAATGCTTGGCACATATCAAAGGCATAAGCACAAGCTATTTTAACTTTTAACTGTTTAAATTCTCTGAAATAAAATAATCCAAAGGTTCCAAATCCAAATCTGACAGGAAATGAAGATTCCAAAAGAAGGGCCAAAAGTCATTTATTGGGTCTTCGGATGGGTTGAAAAGCACAAACAATACTGCACAAACTAATTTCCTCTGTTAAGATGGAACTCTGGGTGACCATCTTACATAAGGGTAACCATGTATTTCCTGAATATCCAAATGGGAAAAAAAAAAAAAAAAGTATCATGGGCGTATTCTACTTTTATGTAGCTGATTACCTGTCCCCACACCAGAACCACCAAAAATTACTTTTAAAACCTCAAAATTTCACTGTTTAGAATGTATAAAAGATATATTTATACACTAACATTTTAAACATAAATTTTCTAGTGGAATGAAGCTTAATGCAAAATGTAGGGAAAAAATTGGACACCCTTTATATGCTGATAAACTTAATTATAATTTAGTTCATTCTAAACTAAATCTAACAAACTTCTTAGGTAGGCAGTGTCTTATTTTCACATTTTTGAAAGCTCTGAAATGGGTAAGATGACAAACAGACAAAAAGCAGAATACTAGAATGATCAGTTAAGGTGAACACTACAGTCATAAGTTGGTACAGGCTTCAATTAAGTGGTGTGAACCACTTACACAGCGAGAGCTTAGGCAGCGTATGTTAAAAAGTTTCCTGGTTTTTTTTGTTTGTTTTAAAAAAAAAAACGATTCTTTATTACGCCACACTACTTTGTGCCTCTCCAAATTTCTTACCTAAAATATTTTTGCTAAATAGAATTTGAAGCTTTTGGAAAAGGAACATTCTTTTTGTTATTTTAAGAAGCCTTTTAAATGACAATATTATATATTGGTAAAAACCAACTTAATCTGTATTTCACACACCCAAACCCCAAATACCACCTATGTAGATGATGAATGGAGATCTGACATTTAAAGTGGGTGCACTGACATACAATACAAGTTTTTTGTATATTTAATCCATAATTTCTGATTGACTCATTTTTAAAAGTACTTAAAAAATAAGCATTTGGCAATGTAACAAGGATACAATCCAATGTGTTCACAGATTGGTTACCTGTGAGACTGGTGCTTTAACATGGGGTGGAATTCCAGAGGAAGAAACAGTACCACTAGGAGGCAGGTTTTTACTGGTCACTGAAGCCCAGGAGAAAGCCTGCAGGAAATGCAACAAACCTAGACTACTAATCATGGAAAACCACCAACATTCCTATAGGGAAACTTCCAAATATATATTTTCTTTTCATTTCTAAACTATTGCTCTATATTGGAAGACTCCTAAAAGAAAGGCACACAGACACATGCCAGTCTATGTGCCAGCTTTCAAAATCTCATTATGCAAGCTTATTTGTAACTGTTTTGTCTGACTACTAAATAAAACCACAAGCAAGTTCCTACGTACTCTAAGTAGATGAGCAAGTGGCAAACAAAACCACTAACAAACATGCTAGAAAAGCCCGAACCTAACAGAAACAATTTATTTCCCCTTTGGGGGTAAGATAGGGTGTGTGATGGTGTTAAGGGGAGAGGGAAGGATAGGAAAGAAGAGAGTATTAGCTGGAAACTCTGACATTCACAAATTGAACAAAGAATCTCCTCCTATCACTACCCAAATATACTTTAACCTTTGGCTTTGAAGAAAGATAAAAGAAGTTTCAGGTAGGCTTACATGATACACTAAGGATGTCACTCATCTTTCCAAGATAGTTTAATTGGTGTAGAAAGGAAACTGATCCCATTTAAACCACAAACAACAGGTATCTCTTCTTTTAATTACAGACCAACTTGTTTAAGTTGGGAAACTGCATGATTCCTGGTGCATCTGTGCTCAGAGAATTTAATACAGAATGAAAGAACAACTGACAGCTCTATACATGGATCCAAATAATTTCATTTAAGTTACTAAACAATGCATACACACAAGGATTCATCTTAAGTTATAAATTTCAGTCTTAGAGGGGTATTTTGCGGGGCAGGGAAACAATAACATTTTCTCAGATAACAAAAAAAACCCCCACAGCTTCTTTCATATACATAAAGTAATTTACTAAACAATTTAACATAATAGAGAAAGGTCATACTTCATTAACAGCACCAAATTTGAACATGTGATGTTGTAAGTCTAAAGAGTTCTTTGATCTAACCTTTGGTGGTTCTTGTGGCAGAGAAACAGGTTCTGCTGGAGGGGGAGTAGTAGATTTCTCCTCTAATTCTTCTAAGTTCTTCTCCTCCACTTGTGGTTTCAGCTCTTCAGTCTTTGTTTCAGATTCTGGCTCAGGTTCAGGTTCATGAGAGGATTCTTCCAAAGGCTCCTCTATGCCATTACTACAATAAAATATTTAGTTCACTTTTTAGTGGGAGTTCAAGACAAAATTCAATTTCTCTCTAATCCAATAGGTGTAACTAGTTATATGCCAATAATCTGTTCTAGATCTACAAAGTATTCAAAGCAAAATTCCAAAAAGAACTATAAAACAGAAGGAATACTACTCTCAAGTAGCAGTTCTTTAACCCCACCATTTTAAAACTGAATTACTAAGAATGTTTAATGCTAACTATAAGCCTATCTTTTATAAAAATAAAATGCTTACTCTGTGTTGTCTTAAACACTTCACATTATCAGTAAGGAACCACTATTTTGGTGCAAGGCATGTTCAATTTTTGGATTAAATAAAACAATTCTTTCCAAATTTGCATATATACAATAGGTACTCAAATACTGACCTAATAGGTGACTTTACCGAGAATTTACTTCCAACAATAATTCTAGGAACAAAAACCACCTTGCTGACATAGTTCAGACCAAATTTAACCTTGCAAATACTATTCTTACGTCACAGGGTGAGCTTCATAGTAACCACTGTTAGCATTTTCTTGTACAGGTTCAGGAGATGGTTGTCTTTCTTCTTGCTCCTCTTCTACTTCATCTTCTGATTCTGACAATACATAAAACAGCACATCTTTTTTAAAGAGGCTTCACAATTTCTAATGAACATATTTTTAACATGTTTAAGGAAGTAGTATGATAGTAAAAAAGAAAATCTGACAATTTTCTTTCTTTCTTTCTTTTTTTGAGATAGAGTCTTGCTCTGTTGCCCAGGCTGGAGTGCAGTGGTGTGATCTTGGCTCACTGCAACCTCCGCCTTCCGGGTTCAAACGATTCTCTGGCCTTAGCCTCTTGAGTAGCTGGGGTTACAGGTATGCACCATCACGCCCAGCTAAATTTTTTTTTTTTTTTTTTTAAGTAGAGATGGGGTTTTCACTGTGTTGGCCAGGCTGGTCCCAAACTCCTGGTCTCAAGTGATCCACCCACCTTGGCCTTCCAAAACACTGGGATTCTGGGTGTGAGCCACCTTGCTCGGCCCCCAAAAAAATTTTTTTTTGTTTTTTTAACAAAGGCATTCAACTGCAATATCCTCTGTTCTCTCAAAAACTGGAGAGTAAGGATGAAGTTTAATATTTGTTGTACTCTATTAGAAAAAATATATATATATTTTCGTAAAAGGAAAAAAAATTATATTAAAGCCACAATTTAGCTTCCTTCGTCACATCTATTTAATAGAGCAATAATGATAAAGAAACTAACCACTGTACATCAATGGAAGATCAATTAAATAATTATGGCACAGCCACAACGTAGACAGCCAACAAAGACATACTACATTAAAAAAAAAGGAAGCTTTAAAGTCAGTGTAATTCCACATTTATAAAAATACATGCTGCTAAGAATAGAATCCAAAAACCTTCTCCAGTAGGTACCAAACTTGGTTATCTACAGAGGATGAGACTGAGGGAAACCTTTTTTCTTGACATCCAAATTTTGTATAATCTCAAACAATGGACATCTTTTTATAACAACGACAACAACAACAAAACCACAAAAAAAGATGTTTGACTCAGTTACAATAAAGAAGCAAATTTCCATAAATGTCATACTTATAGAAAATAGTCCATAAAGAGTACCAACAGAACCCTTCTATCTTCGTATCTTCAAAGTAACCTCACCTTCATCAAGTTCAGGCTCAGAATCACCAAACACTTCATCTTCATAACGAAACATATCATTGTGAACATAAAATTTATTTGGAACAGATCCCTATAGGAAACAACATTTATTCCATAAATACCCAGAAATCCGGTATTATATAAAAGAGCAAATTACATGGCATACACAATTTCTCATTTTAATACTAGAAATCTGGACTCAATATAATTTTCCAATGCTGAACATGCTATGATGTTTATATAAAATAAAAAGGTCACTCAAAAAAATACAACAGTAAAACTCGCCATTACTTTTGCACCAACCTAGAACTCAAGAAACAGCTATTTAATAGAAAAGAAATCAACAGAACTTTTCTATTTTGTTTTCAAATGTAACCTTTCAAATATACCAATATAGTTTTTGTATTAATGTAATCTTAATCATCCATTTACAAGCTTATATCAGTATTTGACTTATAATTCCAAATAGTCAAAGCATATGTACACACACACACACTCACTCACTCAAACAACAGGTCAAACACAAATTCTTCAAAAATAGCAGTATGCAAATCTAAATTTATTAGAAACCCTTGGACACTTCAAACCAACTAGCAACAGCCAAATTCAACCATATAAATGAAAACTAAATGAAATGAGAAACTTACTTCAGGAGCCAGAACAAAGGTTTGCATAAACTTCCTTTCTGGTTGTCCACTGTTAGACAGCAAACCCATGACCTGGACAACTACTCCATCACTCAAGGTTGCATGAGCATCCACATGACGAATTTTAGTATGACATTCACTGAAGTTCAGAGATAACACTTTGTGGTGTATATCCTTTATTAGGGAGGGAGGGAAAAATATAAACTCTTGTAATACTGCATTACCTACACAATACTATTACCTGCCCTCATTGATTTCCTTACAACTCCACAGTATTAACTACTTAATCTTCCTGACTGAACTGAATCCACTGACCATGCTATGCATCACCGCCAGACTGATGCTCCTAAAGAAGAAATCACAATAGCTCTCTGATATTGTGCAGTAATCTGGGCTTTATACAGCTGTCTCCCACTTTTCTGTAATAAGTATTTAGTCATTGTCATATGTTGTCTGCTCCTTGAACTTACACATAATTTTACTGTGTGTTTGCTGATGCTATTTTTTGTCTACTTGTAATTCCTTATTTGGTAAGGCCAAACCTTATAGTCTCACATCCTCTACACAAAGTCTTCCTTCCCTGTTAGGTCATAGGAAACATATGTTTCTGCGCATTCCTATAGCATAGGGTTTAGCTCAGATTTGTATAAACTTAATACACTGTCTTAACTATCTGCTATATAAAATACATCAATGAGATAAAACATACTGTTCTCTCCTTTGTAGCCATCGCAGTATAATACCACGTTTCACACAAAAATGATATTTAAGAACTCAAAGCATGTCTCACAATTATTGTCAAACTGAACAACTACTGACAATTTATGTTGACAATTACTGTCAAACATAAATTTCAGTTACCAATAACAATCATATTGAAAAAAAAAATCCATGGACATAAGAAGGCTATTTTTTAAAATCTCTGTCTTAACACAACATTTCTAAACTATATATGAAATTGATACTTACATTTTGGCCATAAACAGCTTCCTGGGGCTTTCCACTAGCATCTACTCCACCATGAACATAGGAAGAATTCCTGCCATAAAACCTGCAAAACCATAATTAATGATTAACACTGAATTGTCAAGAGAAGCCTAAGAGGCAGTAGAGTTCTGGTGTCATAGACTAGGTTCCGGATCCGGCTCTGTCACTAGTTGTGTAATCTTGGACAGGTAAACTACTTAAGGTCTTTAAGTTCAGTTTCCTTGGTTATAAAACAGGAACAGGAACTACTACACAGGGTCGTTGTAAGGATTAAATGAGTAATGCACATAGAATGCTCTTAGTTTATCTGGCACAGTACATAGACAATCAATAGATATTCATATCTAATTCTTATCACATATATTTTTTAAGTGGAAAAATCGGATATTTTTGACTATTTAGTACATTCTAAATACAGATGCTATAGTAACTGACCCTGTTTTTCTCTTCAGATACAAAGATTCAGCTATCTAGATTTGTTTGGGAATCACAGTTTAATACTATATTCAGATCTCCAAATGATTACTAATTCTAAAGGCTTAAACTGTTTAGATTTAAAATAACTGAAACAATTCAGAGATAAAGTCTAAAATCCAAAATTACTTCAGCATCTAATTTTTTAATATTTTTGTACTGTTCCTAAGTATGTGTAAATTAGTCTTTTATTGGCATTATCCAAAGCAATTAGAATTAGAATCTTTCTAAATTAAGCTCAAAGACGTGAAGTTAATTTTTTCACAAAGAAAATGCAACTCCTATAGTAATAAAACATGTAAGAGCTTCCTTTATGCTAAGTAATGTTTTTAGTGTATTATGTGTACTGATTGACTTAATTTTCTTAACAATCTCATGAAGTACTATTATCTAAATAAACAAGCTGCGGTTCAGAAGAGGTTAAATTAACTCCCCTAAGGTAATATACCTATCAAGTGGGGCACCCAAGATAAGAAGCTAGTCTAACTTGAGAGTCATGCTTTTAGCCACTACTCTTACTATTAAATTTACACTATTTTCTCTCATGTACTACTGGCATCTTTCCTATAGAACAGTTTGGCTGTGTGTGCATCTGTGTGTATACACATGAAAAGTCTCAGAATGATCATATCTCTTTGATGCATTAATTCTTCCAGGAAAGTATCTAAGAAAATAACTAACTAGCAACGTGCACAAATAATGCATGTTTCAGGATATGTATTAGTGTTGCTTATCACAAGTAGAAAATTATAACAACTTGAATTTTCATTAAGAAAGAAATTGGTCAAATAAGCTAGGTCTAAAACAAGTCTGTTACTGTTTAAACATGATGGTGTAGGGCCTTATTGTTTTAATTTTTTTTTTTTTTTTGGTCACTAAAGAAAACAAAAAAACCTGTATCATGAAAAGACCAAATTTCAGATATCAAAGGGCCCTATGAATTCTATATCTTCCCCCAAACTCCCTCACATACACTGTCATCAAAAACATCTTTATTTTTACAATTAGAGAAAGACATACAGTTATTCATTTTACATTTATTTGCGGGGAAGATACATGTTAGTTACACTTTATATACTATATTATAATAATACAGTATATATATAATATATATATAATATATATATAATAATTTATATACTACATTATAATAAAGTGGTTGGGGACACTACTCAGAACTGGGCCTGAATATTGGCTATGGTTAGCTTGTTTACTTATTGAGTGATCCTAGATGAATTACTAACCTCAACTGTCTAATAGATAAAGAGCTAATAAAAGTAACTTCACTTTAAGACTGTCATAAGGAGGCTGGGCGCGGTGGCTCATGCCTGTAATCCCAACACGTTGGGAGGCTGAGACGGGCGGATCACGAGGTCAGGAGATCGAGACCATCCCGGTTAACACAGTGAAACCCCATCTCTACTAAAAGTATAAAAAAATTAGCCGGGCGTGGTGGCGGGTGCCTGTAGTCCCAGCTACTCGGGAGGCTGAGGCAGGAGAATGGCGTGAACCCAGGAGGTGGAGCTTGCAGTGAGCTGAGATCAAGCCACTGCACTCCAGCCTGGATGACAGAGCGAGACTCCATCTCAAAAAAAAAAAAAAAGACTGTCATAAGGAATGCATGAGATAATATACATATGTAAAGTAATTAGAGTCTAGCAAACAGTAAATATAAAAATGCCTTCTTGAATAAAACAGATTACATGTATGTTCAAAAGTGCAAGACAAATTGCTACTGAAATGCTCATTAAGATGACCTACAGATAAAGGAATTTAAGTCTTTTAAACAGCCTTTCTCACGGGAAGTGGTAATATATTTATCCTTAACCCATTTGGCCAGTGTGTTCTGCAATACTTACAAAGTATAACTCTTGTAAGAGTTTCACCTATCTTCTACTTGCTAAGATACATCAAGAACAAAAATTAAATACTACCCACAATATAAATCAATTTCACTTTGATCTCTGGAAAAAACAAGCCTACAGATGTCTACCTCTTGTTAAAACAGTAAATAAGGTTATTGCTGCTGTTTTACAAAGGAATACTATTTTACAGATTAGAAGAAATACAAATTTCACAGTATAATCATTTAACTGATCCATTCCCCAACACTGTTTGGGATAACTTTTAAAAAAAAGATTTAAGCTGCTGATTTCAAATTGCATATTGGAACCCATTAGTTGGTCAAACGGTCAAACCCAAGATATGGTTTGTTTTTTTTTTTTGAGATGAAGCCTCACTCTGTCACCCAGGCTGGAGTGCAGTGGCACAATCTCCGCTCTCTGCAGCCTCCACCTCCCAGGTTCAAGCAATTCTCCCGACTCAGCCTCCTGAGTAGCTAGAACTACAGGCGCCTGCCACCACGCCCAGCTAACTTTCGTATTTTCAGTAGAGACAGGGCTTCACCATGTTGGCCAGGCAGGTCTCAAACTCCTGACCTCAAGTGATCCACCTGCCTCGGCCTCCCAAAGTGTTGGGATTGCATGTGTGAGGCGCTGCGTCCAGTCTCGTGTAAACTTTATATAGTTCTCCACCACCCACCCCCAAAGGCTTTTTTTGTTTTTTTGGTTTTTTTAATGAAATAAAGGTTGGGCTTGGTGGCTCATGCCTGTAATCCCAGTGCTTTGGGAAGGCAAGCTGCAAGCTGGGAGGATCGCTTGAGGCCAAGAGTTTGACGCCACAGAGGGCTATAATCACATCACTGCACTCCAGCCTGAGTGACAGAGCAAGACCATGACTCTAAAAGTAAAATACTAGAGTACATGTAAGTGTGTGCATATATATATATGAATGTGTTATGTACTAGAATATGACATAAAGTGTTTTTGTTACTGTGAGTTGCAGTCAAAAACACTTTCTGCCATCAAATGAATAAAATATTGAATACAGTTTAGACATGTTTACAAACATACTGTCAGATAATGAGACAGGAAATGCAAAATATATGTAGTAATATCCAAGAAAAAAAATAGATAACAATACCAAATTATTTGTTTAAAATTTACCTGTGTAAATATTCTGGAGCTTTATTCAGCAAAGTATAATACTGCCTCACAAACTCCCGCCCTACAAGCAGCGGACTGGGCTTCTCCATAACCATTTCTTTGCTGCACAATGTCAAATGCTAAGGGAGCAAACACAAGAATAACTATTAAAAAGTCATCTTTGTCATCAACCACCATGAAATAAATTTTCTTTTTAGCCAAATTTAGCAGTGGGGAGTTGTATACCAATTAGTGACACTAATGTTAATAAGTTCTGATAACTCACTACCATCAGACTAACCTGAAATAAATTTTCTTAGCCACACAAATGAGACCAAAATTAATGCCACTATTAAAAAAGTAACTTACAACAAACAGCAAAACAATACATTCCTAACTACTATCCATAAGGTAACCTCCAACATTTGTGTCTCCCTTTGTCTCTCTTTCTTGATTTCCCTACCCTTCAGGACAGGAAAATAGCATCTTTGTTATTTCTTATTCCCAAGGGGTCCAATGCTGCCTCAGACTAAGTATAAGTCCTTCTATTCACAGTGCCTTTTTCCTTTGGGGACCAAAATCTACTACATTCCTGGATTGCAGTGGTTTTATCCTAGGAAGAAAGACAGAGGGCACAAGTTAAGACTCAGAGATAACACTCATGGCAAAGCGCCATGACTTGTGTTTTTGTATTCTCTTTCCTTCTGGGAATTAATTTCACCATTTTCAAAATAGTAACAATGATTAATCACCAGCTATAACTTCAGTACTTAGAGATAATCATTTTTTACCTTTGATATTATGTCTCTCTAATCTTTCTTTCCACTAATTAAGCATCTAACTACATGAGATGCTGTTTATAATAAATGAAATCTCTGGTGAACAAGGTAAGATTCTAACCCTCGAGGAGTTTATAGTCTGTCAAGAAATATAAACAAGCAAAAACTGGTGCTATGATAATGTGCCTCAAAGTTAAAACCTACAAGAACAACTAGCACGAAATAAATACAATTTCTTTTTTGTCTTGTGAGACAGGGTCTCGCTCTGTCACCTAGGCTGGAGTGTAGTGGTACAATCATGGCTCACTACAGCCTCAACTGCCAGGCTCAGGCTCAGGCTCAGGCTCAGGCTCAAGTGATCCTCCCACCTCAATCTCCTGAGTAGCTGGGACTATAAGCACGCACCACCATACCTGGCTAATTTTTTTAAATTTTTTAACTTTTATTTTTAGCAGAGACGAGGTCTTGCTATAATGCCCTGACTGGTCTCGAACTCCTGGCCTCAAGTGATCCTCCCACTTCAGCCTCCCGAAGTGCTGGGATTACAGGTGTGAGCCACAAACAAAACTTCTCATCATTTGCTGTAAGAATATAGTCCCCAGATCCTCCCACTTCAGCCTCCTGAAGTGCTGGGATTACAGGTGTGAGCCACAAACAAAACTTCTCAGCAATTACTATAAGAATATAGTCCCCAGAACAGTCAAAATTATAACATTAGAAATTGGAGATTAGGAGGAGAGAAAAATGTGAAATATAACCTCTTTTATTTTATTTTGAGATGGAGTCTTGTTCTGTTGCCCAGGCTGGAGTCCAGTGGTATAATCTTGGCTCACTGCAACCTCTGCCTCCCGGGTTCAAACAATTCTCTTGCCTCAGCCTCCCAAGTAGCTGAGACCACAGGCACGTGCCACCACACCTGGCTAATTTTTGTATTATTAGTAGAGATAGGGTTTCACCATGTTAGTCAGACTAGTCTTGAACTCCTGACCTCGTGATCCACCCGCCTCAGCCTCCCAACGTGCTGGGATTACAGGTGTGAGCCACTGTGCCCAGCCACCTGTTTTATTTTCAAAAGACCTATTACACTTAAAAGTACTAAAACAAACAAACAAAAAAAAACAAAAAAAATCATAATAGCTAAGTGTGTATCTATTGGGTAAATCAGGATGCAGTTTAAATTCCTGCTTAGCCAGGTACAGTGGCTCCCGCCTGTAATCCCAGCATTTTAGGAGGCCAAGGTAGGCGGATTGTCTGAGGTCAGAAGTTTGAGACCAGTCTCGCCAAAATGGTAAAACCCTGTCTCTATTAAAATACTAAAATTAGCCAGGCGTGGTAGTCAGCGCCTGTAGTCCCAGCTACTTGGGAAGCTAAGGCAGGAGAATCGCTTGATCCCAGGAGGCAGAAGTTGTAGTGGGCCAAGATCGTGCCTCTGCACTCCAGCCTGGGCAACACAGTGAGGCTCCATCTCAATAAATAAACAGATTGATTAATTCCTGCTTAAACTTCAGGTTGAGCCAGGAGGATCATTTGAGGTCAGGAGTTCGGGACCAGCATGACCAAGATAGTGAAACCCCGTCTCTACTAAAAATAAAAAAAATTAGCTGAACATGGTGGCACACACCTGTAATCTCAGCTACTCAGGAGGCTGAGGCACAAGAATCACTTTAACCTGGGGGACAAAGGTTGCAATGAGCTGAGATCACACTACTGCACTCCAGCCTGGGCAACAGAGCGAGACTATCTCAAAACAAACAAACAAACAAAGACAAGAAAACACTGCAGGCTGGCACAGTGGTTCACACCTATAATCCCAGCACTTTGGGAGGCAGAGGTGGGAGGAAAGCTCCAGGCCAGGAATTCAAGACCAGCCTGGCCAACAGAGAGATCCCATCTCTATACAAAAAAATTAAAAATAAAAAACAAATTTCCATGTGTGTTTACTTTAAATAACTAAAACAATTTTAGAGACAGTCCTGCATCACAGTCATTAAAATTGTGATACTATTTTTAATAAAAATCAAATACCAACTATAGTAGAGCTTACAAATAAAAAGTGTAGCTTTACATAATTCTAGTGACTCACAATTCAACTTTTACATTATGTTTTTAGGTTCCTTGTTTCTTCCTTTCCAACTAACTTTCCCCCTCTGTCTTTCTGAAACTCTCAAACTTGATTTACAAAAATCCCCAAATCTGTTTAAAATTTTCCATAATGCTTCACCTGCTTTCAAAAATAGTTAATTCACAAAGAGCGGATCCAAAAACTGCCATTTCAGGTGCCACTGATATTCCAGAAAACTGAAAACTCCCAACAAGGGTAACAACCCTAATGCAAAAAGGACTCATATGCTACATTTAAAGTAACAAAGCACTGGGCTGTGGCTCATGCCTGTAATCCTAGCACTTTGGGAGGTCGAAGTGGGCAGACTGCTTGAGCTTAGGAGACCAGCCTGGTCAACAAGGCAAACCCCCATCTAAAATTAGCCAGGTACGGTGGTGCACACTTGTGGTCCCAGCTACTTGGGAGGATTGCTTGAGCCCAGGAGGTCTAGGGTGCAGTGAGCTTTGATCAGGATACTGCACTGCAGCCTGGCTGGCAGAACGAGACCTATCTCAAACACACACACACACGCACACACACGGACACACGCACGCACGCACACACACACACACACACACAGCTACGCAACTTAACATTTTTATTTTGAATAATGAGGGTGGGTAAAGAACAGTAGACTTACCAAGTAAAATTTAACAAGGTAACTAAAATATGGAAATTATATGTATTTTAACACCATAAAAATTGATGGTAAAATAATACTAACACACGGGAAAATACTACATTACTCTCTGGACAAAATAACTATGCACAAAATAGTTTTCTTTAAATTGACAGTGACAGAAATACTATTAGGAATTTCCAGGTTTGGGGATTATTGTTTTCTCTCTAGATTTCCGGATTTTCTACAGGAACTCTGTTGTCATTTATCCCAAATTTCCCACCATATTCATAGAGTACATACTATCTATCATTTTTGTCACTTACATATTTGTTTCTCAAACCAAAATAAAATGGTACAGAATACAAATACCAGTATCACAGGTCAAAATGCTCTAAAGACTTGGTGTAACAAGGTTCAAAAAAAGCTTCAATTTGCCCACTATCTACATGGTCAATGAAGTATAATGGCCAAGATATCATCAATTTAGAACAGAGAGACAGGAAAGGGCAGTAGAATATTTGATTTATCGATACTCAATAAATTAATACTTATTAGAAATATTGGAAGGCAGTAACTTGAAAAGTTAACTTCAAATGGCATATAAGTAAGGCAATGCTAATCTGGTAAAATCTAAACAAACAGGCATATATAACAGGTTATATAGAAAGCTGAGCTTTTAAGGTGCAGAGGAGGCTCCCACAGGAATGGTAAAACAAAATCAAGACTTACTGAGAGAACAGTGTTTCAACTAATTACATCCGTTACTTCTTTAACCATTAACTCCGATTTGAAGCGACTCAGAATTTAGAGAGCCAAAATATAATTGATAGAAATCAAGCAGAAAATGATTACTAGAGATCAACCATCAAATGTTTGGGTAGTTGCAGGAAATAAGACTATGAAAATTGAGTAAGTAATATAAAGTTCACGTTTATAATTCATGCACCGTCAGTGTATGTAAGAAGGTTGAGAGAAAGGAAAAAAGTCAAATTACACATTCAGAATAAAAGTGATTACAAGAAGAAAGAATTGTGCCATTTTTATTCTTCATAGCAAAGCACCTTACAGGTAATCCATTTCTAGATCTGGGACCTTCCATTTCTTAAAAAAAGTTAACAAAATGAAACAAAATTCTGAACATGGGAGTGAGTAAAAGGTTTCGACTATCTTATCTATCTATGGCCATGAAAAAGTCATGACCTTACTGGATCTCGATTTCCTAATTTACAAATTGAGAAGCAATCCCTCGCCAAGCCTACAAGACTACACAGTTCTATAAAGATAGCCAAGGAGGCCTGGTGCAGTGGTTCACACCTGTAACCCCAATATTTTGGGAGGTCAATGTGGGTGAATCGCTTGAGCTCAGGTGTTTGAGACCAGCCCAGGCAACATGGCAAAACCCCGTTTCTACTAAAAAATACAAAAAATTAGCCAGGCGTGGTAGTGCACAAGTGTAGCTCCAGCTACTCAGGAAGCTGAGGTGGGAGGAATGCCTAAGCCCAGGAAGTCGAGGCTGCAGCGAGCCAAGATGGCACCACCGCACTCAAACCTGGGTAACAGGAGTGAGACCCTGTTTAAAAAAAAAAAAAAAAAAAAAAAAAAAACAATGGGAAGAGGCTGGGTACAACTGCTCACGCCTAAAGTTTGTTAGACCAGCACCTTCAAAGATAATCACCATCTTCAATAAAGTGGTTGTTAGCCTCACCTAACAATCTTTTTAGAAAAAGTTAAATACAATGTATCACACCCCACTTGTTCCAATGACACCTGAAAAATGTGGAGAATCCCACACAGGAATGCACAATGTAAGATTTTCTCTGTTACATTAGCTCTATACACAGACAAAGCTCTCTCATGAACAAATCCGTCTTTTACCTGTTCAAATGAAAACATAATCTAAGCCCAGGTACAGTGGCTCATGCCTACTTCCCAGCACTTTGGGAGGCCAAGGCAGGCGGATCACGAGGTAAGGAGATCGAGATCATCCTGGTTAACACAGTGAAACCTCGTCTCTACTAAAAATACAAAAAATTAGCCGGGCATGGTGGCACGTGCCTGTAGTCCCAGTTACTCAGGAGGCGGAGGCAGTAGAATTGCTTGAACCCAGAAGCAAAGGTTGCAGTGAGCACAGATCACACCATTGCACTTCAGCCTGGGCAGTTAAGAGTGAAACTGTCTCAAAAAAAAACAGAACCCGAAAACATTATCCAGTATAGTTTAGAGGCATTCTACTCTCCAACTCTGCCTACTGCACCTAAAATCCCTGTGACTCTTCATCAGAATATTTTATTCATTCCTGTTTCTTAAAACGTTTCCTCTGCATTTGCCTAGACTAATTCCTGAAGCACATGTACGTCAGCTCTCACAGAAAATTGCTCTTTGTCACTTGTATTTTCTGAATCTGTTAATAATACACATTGAGAAGGAGTGGAACATTGTAAATAATATACAATGAGAAGGAGTGGAGAACTGGTAGACATACATTCAGATTACAAAAGAAAGTCACATTAAGCTTCATTATCCTACAATGTATTTATATTTCCTCAGTTTCAAAATAATGGAAAAAAAAAAAACCCAAAGTTATCACTCTCCTTTCCTCAAACTTTGATTAAAATGTCACCTTTTAGGTAAGAAACATTTACCATTTTTTTTTACCATTTAAAGTTTAGTGAATCACTAGTATAATGGGGCTGTCTCCAAAACAATCTCAGGCTACATTAATTTAGATGTAATATCTAAAATGAGTTGAAAATTCTAATTGAATATAGTGAATGGAAATTATAAGAAGGTAGATTTGGGTTCAACATAACTCAAAAATAACGTGAGTTGTCCAAATGTCAAATAGAGCTACTTAACAAGTAGTCAGTCACTACAGGTATTCCAGAGACTAACTGAATGATTTGGCACAAACATAGTAAGGGAGTTCATAGATCCAAAAATATATAATTAGGCCATTCCAACACTACCTAAGATCCTAAAAGTCTGTTAACAAGAAGCAGGACTTTTGACTTCTCCAATACTCATCTCACACCTTCCTATCTGCAGTGACTGAAACCCTATGCATTTATCTGGGCCCAGCGGAAATCCTATCCCCTTGAAAATCTTTCTACTTCCACTGAATTCCTCAACAGAATATAACTCTTTGCTATTAACTCTTAAAGTACTTTTGGCCTTTATCATGGCAGTTTATTGATCATACTCTGCCCTAAGTTACTAATTGTACACCTGTCTTCATCTTCTCTCTATTCCCCTCTCAAATTATAACTCAGCTCTCCCATGAATGCAATTCTCTGGAAACATCGCAATTCTTCTCAACAATGAATGACTTCTCAGTCCTCCACCCATCTGCATTATCAATGTTGACTACCTCCTCCTAACTCCTTCTAGAGTTCTATAAGGTAAATTTTCCTTCTCATCAAAACGCAGAAGTTCTCAAGGTTCTGTCTTCTAACCTGGCAATTTCAGCTTCCGGTCTCATGTCTACCTAAATGTGTATCTAGTCTACACCAGAAGTTCAAATTTTACATTCGTCACCACATACTGAATACCTAGACATGACCTACATATGTCCCAACACACACATGCACCAAAGAAAGTTATTTCCTTATTTCTGTTAAAAGTGTCATAATCTTCTCAACTTGAAAGCTCAGTCATGATTTTCTCCCCTCCTTTAGCTTTGCCAAACTGTGAAATCCTTACAACTCAGAAGCTGGAATTTGTGCCCTCCTTTAGACTCCCACTGTTCACACCTTTTAGTTATTCTTCAAAAGTTGTTCAAGCCCTTGTATCATGTGTAGTACAGAGTAAAATCCAAACACCTGCATTCAGTTTGGCATCTAAGGCCCTATACAGAAATCCAGTCTGACATTCAATGTCATAACCAACCTTTCAAATTCATCTTCTACTATATACTTTCTCATTCCTGTATCAAATTCCATACAAATATTTTAATCACCTGTTATTATTCTCTGCAATTTCATTCTCTGGGCCTTTGTCTTACTTCATTCATTCCCATCCACAAGCTGAGTCAATGGGTTAGACAAAATAAATTCATTTCAACATTTATTTTATGGCTACTCTGTATGTACCAGAAACTACAAAAGGAAAAAGAGGCCGGGTGCGGTGGCTCACGCCTGTAATTCTAGCACTTTGGGAGGCTGAGACGGGTGGATCACCTGAGGTCAGAGGTTCCAGACCAGCCTGACTAACATGGAGAAACCCATCTCTACTAAAAATAGAAAAAAGTTAGCCGGGTATGGTGGCAGGCGCCTGTAATCCCAGCAACTAGGGAAGCTGAAGCAGGAGAATCGCTTGAACCCAGGGGGCGGAGGTTGCAGTGAGCTGAGTTCTAAGTACTTGATATTAGTTATTATAAAAAGAATAAGACCTCTAGTAGTAGGATGCAGTTCTCTTTACCACATCGTGTTACCAAAGGTTATGTGAGTGCTAAAACACAGCTTATCTCCACTACAGGATACCTACCCCTTTCCCCTCTGGAGTCCCTCATTCATAGCTGGGCTCAAACTAGTCAGGTTTATTTATTTTAACTGAACCATGGACTATATCCATTTGCAACAGCTAAATGCCATATCAATACTGGAACTTTCTGAAATTCCACATGGTCTTTGCTTAAAGTAACTTGAACAATCTAAGGAACACTATACCTTTTTAAAGAAATGATCTTCAATCTTTCGTGGCACACCATTGAACGAAAGCTTCACAAAGATCTAAGAATCATAGTGCTACAAATAAATAATAAAAGTAAGTTATGGACTAAATCTCTTATTCAGGCTCCAGAGTTTTTTTGTTTTCTGTCGTCCTCAGAAGTTGAGGGAAGCTAGTTTTGAAACTCAGAAGCTATTAAAAGTGACCAAGCATTAAGAAATGGAAATGCCTGCTGTCCACAAAAATAAAGCATGTATTTGTACTATGTTGTAACGTTTAACAAGTAACCTACTATTTTCCTTTGTGTCTTTAAAATAGATAGGGCATTATCTTTATTTACAGAAAACGATGTTTAGAGAGCCTAAGGAAAGGTGTTTGGGGTCCCCCAGTTACAGTAAAAAAAGAGGACTCGAAATCAGGTCTCCTGACTCTAGTGATGTTTTCACTACATTTTGGTTAGGAACAACCGCTTTGGAAGAGCAGCCAGCTCTTCCAACAATACAAAAATTAATTTTAAACAAGCAATTGTTAGCTCACGTGAAACTGTTGAGAAGAGTGAAAAGCAAAGGAATACGGCAGGCCAGTAACAGAAAACCCAAGAATCATTTTCAATACACCTATGGTTTCAAGATAGGGTAAAATACTTGGAAATTAGAAGATAAAAGTAAGTGGAAACACAACAGTCAAGAAACTAATTCTATTGCTTCTGAAGGTAGGCTAGGGAGTTGGACCAATTTATTCTATCGGATATTAAACAAGTGTCTACCAGTGGAGAGTAACTAAGTCATGTTTGTCCATTAAATCCTACTGAATTTAAGTCCAGACGCAACACTTTAGTTTTTGCCTTTCAAAATCAACATTGAAAAGGACTCATTCACTGTCTCCACATTCACTCAAAATATGTGGAAAGTCTCTTCAAAGCAATCTAGGGGGAAAATGTTAAATCCTAATTATGGGTAATAAACAGCGATAATTTTGCAGGATAAGGAAGGGAAGTTTTCAGAATCTAAAGAGGCAGTGCCAACACTTTCTTCAAACCAGGAGTTGCCTGCTGACAAATCAACTGCTTAGCTGCTAACTGAACAGTTAAGTTAGTTAATCCACGAAATTATCAAATAACGTGGTTTCTTCTTTACCTTTTGATTTTTATCCCCATCCATCCCACAAGCACTCTGGCTCACTCTTGATGTTTTTTCACTATTACTAATATTTCGACCCTGAATATCAATCTGAGCTCTTAGTAAGCAATTCATTCTAGGTCCTTATTATTCCTACAATTCCTTGACTGCTTTTCAGAGTTAGTTTGTAAAGATTAAATCATAACATAAAGGCCCATATGAGTAATCTTAAAAATTTAAGAAAAATGTAACTACTGCTAAAGAAACGGTAATTCAATCCTAAGAGGTTCAAACGCCTCGTACCGTGTATCTCCTAAGACCAGGAATCTTGGATTATCAAAAGGACCACTGGATCCTAACAGGCCAAAAGTTTACTTAGAAACTTTGTTCACATGCCTAAGGCTATATTAACTGCCAAATATGGAGCTGGAGAAGAATTGCCATCATCTCCCACTCTAGTACACCGGGGCTCTCTTAACGGCAGTTAATGGTTCCTAGATCCAGGTACCTGCAACGCTAACGTTTGAAAGACTAGAACAAGGTACGGAGCCTTGAACCTAAAACCACAGTATCTTAATCCAAGTTAATATCCCACAACAATCATAGGGGAAGAAAAGGACAACTTTACTCTTCCAGCTAAAAGTGCACGTGCCTTTTTTGTTGTTGTTGTTAGGAAGGAAAAGGCACTCTCCCACCACCCGCCCCCCAAATCCGTTACAACATTAAGTATGTCTCGGGGAAAAAAACTGTTCTATGCAGGAAATTGTAGACGAAAATCTATATTCGCCCCAAAGCGGCACAGGGCCATCTTAAGAAATCTGCTTTTAGAGACGCAGGGAAAATTCTATAAGATTCCACAAACAAAATCAAGACAATCTAGGGAAGTTTATGTTCCTTTCTGTCCCCCCACCCCCCAAAAAGCGGGAACCCATCCCTCAAAAGTCATTCCCGGGTAAATAAGGGATCGTCTGCATGAGAGGGGGACGAAGGCGGCGCACGTTACAGTTCCAGTATCCGAACACGTTCGGATTAAACCCGCGGTGGCGGGGAGGAGGGGGTTGGTCACAGACTACGGAACACTAGGTACTGGGTAAGCCAAGCGGCGGCTGCCTTCAAACACGGATTCTGTTTCCGTGCACAGAAATGGTGCCCGGAGGCCGCTACTTTCGCATCTGCGTCGCTTCTGCCTCCGCCGACAAAACCTCTTTTCCCCTCCCCCACGGGCGGGGCGGCGACGGCCTCCCCGCTCCGAAGGAACAGGGAATAAGAGCCGAAAACGATTCGGAAACAGGAACGGTGGGCTACCCACCCTAAAAAATCCCCTCCAGAAAGCCTACTCCCACACTTCCTGTATTAAGCTTCCATCAGCGCGCCTTCGGGAGCTGCTGCGTGCCCCCCTACTTCGCCACCTCGTCCCCAACAAACCTCAACCCCACCTGTGCCCTCGGAGCCCTCTGCACGCAAGACGCTCGCGGGTCACCTCCCTTCCCAGGCGGCCTCCCACCCCTCACCTAGAGGAAAGACTGGTCTTCTCTCACGCACACACGGCAGCGTAGGGAGCCGGCAAGAACAATGTCTCTGCCGCTACACCTCCGGCTCCCGGGCTCACACACCGGACGATTACCTCGCGCCGCGGAGTGCGAAGAAAATGTCCCTTTCCGACCACCACACCGACCTCCCCTCCCGGCCCCCGTACACACCTCCAGCCAACGGCGCCGGCGGGTACGTCGCGCGGAGGTCAGAAGAGTCGCTGAGGACCGGGTGCGGCGGGTTCTTCTTGCTCGCCGCCCCCTTCCTCCGACAACTCGGAAGCCTCGGAAGCCGGAGAGCCGCGAGTTCGTCTGCTTCACAACCACCTCTTCCCGGGCGCCAGGCGCTGCGACGAGCGACAAGGACCAGGGACGTCCCGCCCCCTTTGCCGCCGCCCCCTCTTATTGTTTTACCCCTGCGGAAAGGGCCAGGGAACCCCCGAGCACAGCGTCAGCCAATCACGCATCTCCTCCCGAACCGGGCCCAACCTTCCCGTGTCCCTCTGCGGAGCACGCGCAGTACGCTGCCGCGCTCGCACACGCTCGCGCCCGGAAAGCTGGGGAACCGGAACCGGCCTAAAGCCAAGATAAGAGTCCGCTGATTTGACGTCATAAGCGGGCTGCCTTTCTCCTGCCCCGAGGCTCCAGCCTTGCCGCCCTTCTTCCTTGCCGCCCTTCTTCCTGATCGCGCAAGCGAGAGCTGGTTCGCAGCAACGCAGTGTCTTTTGTAGACTGATACTCTGGTCCCTTTTATTAATGGGAAGGAGGGAATCTAGTAATCTTTCTGAACTAGGTGTCTGCAGGTTGCTGCTGTAGACGAGCTTAAAATGCAGCCGGTGATTTCAGCTGTTTGCACACTAAACTCACCTACATTGTTTATTTAACCCATCCTAGGTTTTAAGCCCCACCAAGAGGCCCTGCAGTAAAGGAAGAATATGACGTGGGCTTTACAGAGGGGGAAAAGACTATTTCTTTGTGTGCTTGTTACGAATTTAGGCATGGCTAAATATCAATACATACTAAAGCATTTTACATACTAAAGCTGAAAGGCCTGAAATATCAGGATTACAGTCCTAGTCTAGCTCTAAGCCCAGACTTGCCCCCAGGGTGAGACACTGGTGACCTTGTTTCATGGAAAAAGCCAAGCCAAATCTTGTAGTCAAGGAAGACACTTCGCATCTTAGGTCTGGCAGTGTTTTCAGAGAATACCGAGATAGCACAGGAATTTTATAATGAAAGACTGAGAAAATGTTCATAGAAATGGAAAGAAAAAAATACATTAATGAATGCTTTCGAACTAAACATGGTGGACGCAGGCATATACATTTCATCAGTTTTCTTCGCGGTCCTATAAGGGCATTTTTAAGGTATTTGGCACGTGAAGACAATATGTCAAATACCTTAAATATTGGCAGAGGCAATGCCAACATTAGGGACTCCAAAGTCTACAATATCTTTACCTTTAGACTGCTTAAAGATATTGTTATATGCAAAATATTTGGGCAGACCATCACTTTAATGAAATGAACCTGATGTTTTTCCTTAACGCATCAAAATACATGCTGGCTGTCCTTTAATATACTGGGCTTATATACCAGGCATTCTTGTAATTACACAGCCTTCTAAGGCTCACAGTAACCCTGTGAACTAGTTCCTTTTTTTGTTTTTTAGACGGAGTCTCTCTCTGTCGCCCAGGCTGGAGTGCAATGGCATGGTCTCGGCTCACTGCAACCTCCGCCTGCCGAGTTCAAGTGATTCGCCTGCCTCAGCCTCCCTAGTAGCTGGGACTACAGGCGCGTGCCACCACACCCAGCTAATTTTTTTATTTTTAGTAGAGACGAGGTTTCACTATGTTGGCCAGGCTGGTCTGGAACACACCTGACCTCCTGATCCGCCCGTCTCGGCCTCCCAAAGTGCTGAGATTACAGGCGTGAGCACCGCACCCGGCCAGTAGTTGCTTTTTTTTTTTTTGAAACGGAGTCTCGCTCTGTCGCCCAGGCTGGAGTTCAGTGGCCGGATCTCAGCTCACTGAAGCTCCGCCTCCCAGGTTCACACCATTCTCCTGCCCCAGCCTCCCGAGTAGCTGGGACTACAGGCGCCCGCCACCTCGCCCGGCTAGTTTTATGTATTTTTTCGTAGAGACGGGATTTCACTGTGTTAGCCAGGATGGTATCGATCTCCTGACCTCGTGATCCGCCCGTGTCAGCCTCCCAAAGTGCTGGGATTACAGGCTTGAGCCACCGAGCCCGGCCAGCAGTTGCTATTTTTATGCCGATTTTACAGATGAGGAAACTAAGGCTTGGAGAGGTCAAGTAATTTACCCAGGACTACTCGGCTACTATTCACTGGAGCTGGGATGCAAACACAGGCAATCTGCCTCCACAGTCCATACCCTTAGGCAAACTATAGAATACTCCCATTTTACTAGTAATTGCCGCAATTTACTTATCTGCCCTAGTGCTGACTAAGCAAGTGTTTCCGGTTTGGAGCTCTTCTATGCAATGCTGTTATAAATATTGTTCACCATGTATCATGCTGCAGAGGTGCAAAACTTTCTCTAGAGCAGGTTCTCAGACCTTAATGTGCACCGAAATCACCTGTAGGGCTTGTTAAAACAGACTGTTGGGCCCCACTCCCTAAGTTTCTGATTCAACAGAGGTCCGAGAATTTGCACTTCTAACAAGTTCTCAGCTGATGGTGCTACTGCTGCTCTAGGAGCCACACTTCAAAAACCACTGATCTAGGCCGGGCGCGGCGGCTCACGCCTGTAATCCTAGTAGTTTGGGAGGCCTAGGAAGGGCAGATCACCTGCGGTCGGGAGTTTGAGACCAGCCTGACCAACATGGAGAAAGCGCGTCTATACTGAAAATACAAAATTAACGGGGTGTGGTGGTGCATGCCTGTAATCCCAGCTACTGGAGAGGCTGAGGCAGGAGAATCGCTTGAACCCGGGAGGCGGAGATTGCGGTGAGCCGAGATAGCGCTATTGCACTCCAGCCTGGGCAACAAGAGCGAAAACTCCGTCTCAAACAAACAAACACCTAGGGCAGAGGTTAGGCAAACGGTTTGATAAGGGAAGGATTAGATAGTATTTTTGGTTTTGAGTACCACGTATGGTTTCTGTTGCATATTCCTCTCTCTCATCCTTTAAAAACGTAAGAAACATTTTTAGTTTAGCTCTAGGGCTACACAGAAACAGCCCTCAGGTAACCCTGCTCTTGAGTAGACACCAATAAGTGGAGTTAATGGGAAAAAAGATTCAGCGATCTTCAATGTTAAGTAAATATCTCTAACCTATTCCAACTGGCGATTTTTACCTCATAAACATCTCTCTATACAAATAGCCTCTGCCCAGGTTCAGGCCCCTTCATCTTCCCAGGAAGACTGCAGTGGCCTCCTAATCTCCCTGCCTCTCAACATAGCCTCCATGAAGCAATGCCCACCACCTATAGACTAGGCAAGGAGACCAGTGTGAACTGTATTCATTCAGTGGCTCAGGCCAAAAATCTCTTTTTCTCACACCAATTTATTGACAGTCAATTGTCAATAAATTTCTTTTTGAGATGGAGTCTCACTCTGTCATCCAGGCTGGAGTGCAATGGCATGATCTGGGCTGACTGCAACCTCCACCTCCCAGGTTCAAGCCATTCTCCTGCCTTGGCCTCCCAAGTGGCTAGAACTACAAGCATGCGCTACCACGCCCATCTAATTTTTCTACTTTTAGTAGAGATGAGGTTTCACCATATTGGCTAGGTTGGTCTCGAACTCGACCTCAAGTGATCCACCCACCTTGACAAATTGTCAATACATTTCTGTTCCCTCTACCTTCAATATTTATTCTGGATTAAATACTTTGCATCACTGTTACTGCTACTATAGTAGTCCAGGCCACCATTGCCTATTGCAGTAGCTTTCTACTTGGCCTCAATGCTTCCACTCTTATTCCACTACAGTCTATTCCCCTCACAGCAGCCAGATCTTTCATAGTTAAAATTGAGATGATCCCAAAACCTTTAAAAGGCAACACAAAATCTCAGGTCCTTACCATGGCCTATAAGGCCTATCTGATCTAGTCCTTACCTATTACTTGCATTTCTTTTCTTACCACTGGTTTTC